GCGAGCAACCAAATCGTGGAACTTATGATAGACTTGTTTGGACGAAAGTCGAGAACTAAAGAAGTTAGCTCTTAGAAGAACTATTTCCACATAATCACCATTATGAGAACAGTTGCCACCATTACAATTCATGTCAGATTAGTCAAAACTCCAAACCCTACGGTTTGTAAAACAAAAACAAATCTCTAATTCTAATATTGTTACTAAAAAAAAAACGTCTAATAGAATTAAGAAAATTGAATTACTCTAGAATAAAGTGGCCCGTATAGAATAAAAATCACTCTATAATAAAATAAAATATTTCTAGTATCCTAAATAATAAAAAAAAAAAAATACTAATCAAGTGCCCGTCTTTTTATGCATCAAGTAGATTACAAGGAAGAAAGAGATGGGTTTGCTGTTATAATATGTCCATTGCAAATTTACGGATTTTTGATCTTGTTGCACACCCTTGAAAGTTGTAAAATGACTTCAAAAATTGTAAAAAAAAAAAAAAAAAATTGTTGTAAACAACCTTGAAACTTATATTTCAACCCATAGAACTTATAAAAAATTGCCCTGTATTATAGAAAAGGAAATGCATTTGGTCGGTGTTGACGGCTTATATTGGCGGTTAAAAGCTTGTTTAGCTCGCATTCCTAAGGTCATCTTCCTCCTCCACCGACTTTAACAGAAACTAGAATAAATATAAGCTCATAGTAAGTTGCAGTAGAATATTAAACACTCCGAGCCAAAAAAATGATCAGTTGTTTATAAGTTTATGATAAGTGATAGTACAGAAGCATCTGCTAAGAGGATCATTAAGTATCTTTCTTGAAGTCTCAAAAAACTATTCTTCTAAGCAGTTTTTCAGTGACCAGCCCACTGGATTTGAAAGAAGATAAAGAAATTAGGGTTCCTCGTGACTTCGAGTACAGTCCTAGCTGTTAATTGGATCAAGGTCATGTGCCCCGAGATGTATGCTGAACAACACCACCAATTTGATTCAAATCACCAGGAGAGACTTCAATTATTATAATGTTTTTAAATCTTCTCTTCTGTTATTAATGGTACTTTAATTTTCGGCTCTGTTTTGTATACAATATATTCACACAACTTTAAAGCGTATCATACAACAACCGAGAAAAAGCACTTCAAGTCTTCAAATCCCTCCCTCCCCCCTGCTCACACACACCCTAAACTAGGAGATTTGAGATTGAGACACCATAATTCATTAAAAATCACAATTTTGGATATCACTCCATGCGTCAACATGCGTATTCCATGGACTATTTTGATGAAGTTTGTGAAGTTTAACCATAAATGTAAACCGCTGTGAGAGAGAGAGAGAAAGAGAATTATCTTTTGGTTTCGAATTTTCAAGAACAAAAGTTTAGTAATTCTCTATGCAAATTATCAGCCATTTAGAACAAAATAGGTCTCTTCAAATTGTTGGATCAATCTCTGGAAATGAACTTAAAAATATAATAATGAACAACCAAATGAATGAATGAATGATTTTTTAGTCAACGGAATCTCATACCCTTTCGACGATAGTACCTGTCGCGACCAAAAAAGTTCATAAAATATACTGTACGCTAGGAGATCATAAAAAATAATTAGCCTACCAACTTTTATAAAATAACCAAAAAATTAAATCATTGTTACAGAAAGATTGTCATACTATTTTGTACTAATGAATAATAAAGATTTCAAATTGGAGGTCCTATACATTACAAGGTGGCCTTGTCAAGAAGACAATAAAAATAACAAACGTAGTAATGTACTGATTAAGGTAATTCATAGGATTCCTAATTTAGTCAGAGTGTCGTAACAGTTTATCCAATGATGATAAAGTGTATGGAAGCAGCATATCCAGAAATGAACCAATGACATGACTGTATGTATATATATATATGCCTCTTTCCATGGCCATAAAAGGAGTAAAAGTTTGGTTTGAAAATACTCCATTTGGTTCTAAATTTTGACCTTTTCGCAGCCCGGTGATATTATTTTCAAAATGTTATGACCAGATTCGCGAGAGGATATTATTTATTATTTTTTTTAATTTTTGGGAGATGGGAAAGAGAGAGAAGATTTTAACTCTTAATCTCAAAAAAAAAATTCTTTACAGGACAAAGAATATTATTGGACCAAAGGCAAATTGGTCAAGAGGATATTTTACTATATAAATAGGCTCAAATGTAAATAAAGTAATTTAAAAAAATTTAATCGTAGTTTTTTCTACCTTAGATGTCATGGAAGAGGAAAAGTAAGAGAGGAAGATATGGCTATTGATTAAGGTTTCTATAAAAATGGGGCTAATTACCTCTATTCTGTTTTACCAATAGACTTTTAGTCTAACGATACTCTTGTCTTGTGAAGGTTTTGTTTTCTTGAGATCAAGGGTTCAAGCCCCCCTCCGCCTCCTCAAAAAAAATATAAATATAAAAATAAATATAAAAACGGGGTTAATAGTTGGTGAAATTATGTTTTCGTTTTTTCTTTTTTTTTTTGGGGGGGGGGGGGGGGGGAGAGAGAGAGATATCAAATTATAAGTTTGTGGGATTGGAGGGTATCACATATATTTTTTAGGTAGATGTCAAAAATAATAATTAAATTAAAATATTAATTTGATTTGTTGATTTAATTAATCATTGTCAGTAATTTAAATGTAAGTCCTAATAACTAAGGTGTTGTTTGGTAACCATTAGTTTTTTGTTTTTGTTTTCAATTTTGGGACAAATGAAAATAAAAAATATGTTTAGTTTATGTTTTTGTTTTTTTTTTTGTGCTAATCCATTTTGAAAACATCCAAAAACAAAAACAACGGAAGAAAGGATCTCATTTAATGAGATCTCGATTTCGAACCTCATTACCAACAAAAAATCTAGCTTTTTCCCTCACTATATAAAAGGCCAACCAAATGAAGTTGTCCTCATCTTCTCTATTCTCTCTACAACTTCCACCCGAACCTTTACTCCATCTTTTCTCTTCTCTGCACTGAAGGCCAAAATGAAAATCGGGGGATTTTAAGGTGGGTTTTTGGGGTTTGGGGGTGAAGGATTTTTTAGGGTGGAGGATTTTCGAGGGTTGGGTGGTGGATTTCGGAGGTGGGGGATTTCATGCTAGGTTTTCAGGGTTTGGGGGTGGGGGGTTTTAGAGGGTGGTGGATGGTGGATTTCAGTGGTTTGATGTAGTGTTGGGTGGTTGTTAGTAGTGCGCTTAGGTGGTGTTGGACAGTGGACAGTGGATTTTTTGTTTTCACAATTTTTTTAAATATAAATAACTATCAAACATATTTTTATTTTTATTTTTTATCACAAAAAATAAAAATTATTTTTATTTTTAAAAGAATATAAAAACAAAAACATTACTGAATGTACCCTAATAGTTTCTAAAAAGATGTTTTACAACTTCAACTTTAAATGTGTTTTTTTCGTTCATTGGATACCATCAGCTGTTCTTCCTTCAACTTAAGTTTCACATATCCTTAAAATCCATGTCTCCTACAAGACCCCACCAAACATATATTTACTTATTCAAAGCCAAAAAATACGAATGGCATGACAACTCATGTGGCTATGAAATTTAGTGTTCTGTCCTCATTTAAAACCTCATGTTACTCAATGAAAACGAAAAAAAAAAAGGATAAAAATTATTTGAATTTAATTTGTTAACTTGATTTATTACAAATTTTGAATTAATGATGGATATCATTAAACATTGAAACTTGATATTAATCTAAAAGTTATAATAAAATCACATCATTAGGTCAACGTACAGATTAAATTAAATTTTTAAATCTAAATAACATTACTCAAAAAAAATATATCTCTAATCCTATGAAAACTCAAGTATGAATAAGTTTTAATACACCAATGGGTCATTAGTTCAATAATACTCCTTGTCTTGTGAAGGCTTTGACTTCTTAAAGTCAAGGGTTCAAGTCCCCCTTCCCCTCTCTCTTCCCCTCCCAAAAAAAAGAAAAAAAATATATAAAAAAAAAAAGCATTACCTTCACAATGGATTCAAAAATAGAAAAATCAAGTAGTAAATTGAAATAGGAAATGAGGTATCGAGTGGAGTCGTTCAATAGGGTATTAGCTGAACTTGTCCCTCTAAGATTAGAGGTTCAAATCTGGAAATTTATATTGGAGCTCGGTGGTTGACTGTTGTACTAACTTATTAGGTTTATTTCCGAAAAAGTAACAAACGTGGTCAGGAATCTCATGATTTCACCAACAAAAACTTATTGAAGTGATTTTTAGACGCTCTCGTTACTTTGCTCTTTCTCTAAATAGCAAAAAAAAAAAAATCAAAGGAAATGAGGCCAAGGATCAGGTGAGCATGATTCATTCCACCATAGCCGCTGATAAGTGACCTCATTCCCACCATAACCTCTGATGAATGACCTCACTATAATATTATTAAAACATGTAAAAACAAAATATTAAAATGAAAATATAAATGTTCTAGAACTGGGTCGGTGTAACGCTTGTGCTTCTGTTTCCTACAGCATGTTGCATGTACCCTTGACTAGTCAAACCCATTTAATTCCCCCCTCTCTCTCTCTCACACACACACACACTCAACTCTCATTCACACAAGGGCTTCAGTTCTCAAACACAGCTCATGGGTGAAGACTCGGAAAGGTTTTTCCGAATAAATTTTTGATAGAAAAGTATTATGTAATTTAAATTTATAATTTAAATTTGTATCTTAAATGAATAGGGATCATTGGATGAGTAAGTCTTATCAATTTTTTTAATTGAGAATTACTAATTCACTAGTCTTATTAATTTGAGATGCAAATTTAGATTATAAATTTAAATTACTAATATTTCATGAAACTTCTTCTCATAAATAAACAATTGCATTTACTAATATAGATAAGAAATTGTAAAAAAGGTGTAGTGTCTGACAAACGCACATCTCTCTCTCTCTCTCTATAACCCTATTTAAATACAAGCTTAGCCCACTGCTTTCTCCCATGCAGTTGTCTTCTCCACTCCACAACACCACTAGTTGTGTTCTACTAGCCCTCTGTCTCACTCTCTCTCTCTCCATCATCTTCAAAGCAGCCACTAACTCCCTCTCTCCATAACTTGTCTCTGACACTTGATCTCCTTTTCACCACTCTAACTTGCATTATTTTTTTGACAGTACATCCCATTTTGTTCACTCAGGAATTTCACTCCCTTTGTCTCGTTAGGGTTCTCTGACTCTCTGAACTAGTTCTTCTGACATATATACACACAACTATATTCATATTTTCATCCATTTTATAAGATGTCTAGCCGAAGGTCACGATCGAGACAATCGGGAGCTTCAAGGATCACTGATGATCAAATCAATGATCTTGTTTCCAAGTTGCAGCAGCTTCTTCCTGAGATTCGCAATAGGTGCTCCGACAAGGTACTTCCTTTCTTGTTTATAGCCTCTCAGTCTCAGCCCTCTCTATCTTGTTATACTGAGTAAGTTTCTTTGAAGTGCACACAAAAGAACCTCCGGAAGAACAGCTTCTAGCTAAACTGATAAATGCCTATTTCACACGATGGGAACAAAGGGAAAGAACTTTAAGGATACATATGAAGCTTTAAACTGAAGTTATCTATGTCTTCTCAATTTGTGTAAAAAGCCCCAAAATTTACTGTTGCAATCCTTCCATATCTAACTCTTGACATTTGGTTGGTTAAACTAAAATGAATATACAAGCAATTCACCGCAAGAATTAGGATCTTTTGACACAAATTTTTTGCGCCAATTTTTTTGTAATAAAAGATTTATTTGTTAGTGCAAATAATATTTGAGATGGATTGTTGCTATCATAATTTTTTTTTTGAGGATCCACTTATTATGGAGAGGCAATGTCTCCACAAAAAATATTTATCACGACAAATAAATTTTTTATGACAACATTTTATCAGTAGAAAAAACTTTTTTTCTTGTAGTGAGATAGCAAAAAAAAAAAAAAGAAGAAGAAGAAAAATTATACAAGTAAACTACAAAAAATAATTTATGGTGGCAAATAAATTTTTTATAATAACACTTTATCGGTAGAAAAACCCTTTTTTCTTGTAGTGAATTAGCAAAAAAAAATTATACAAGTAAACTATAAAAAATATCTCAATAAAAAGGTTAGGGTTTCACTTTGGATGGCACTCTGTTGTGATTTATGGATTCATGGTCTTCTTGTATTTTTTGAAAGTGTGTCACTATTTGAACAATAACTTCTCTCCCCAATGGAATCAACCTCCAAATACAGTCCTTGGTACTGGTTCTTTTTTTTTTTTTTTTTGGGGGGGGGGTGGGGGGGTGGGGGGCGGTATCAGTAGTTTTTCTCAGTTAAAAATTACTGCTTAATGATTTAATTCTGTGCAGGTTTCTGCAGCTAAGGTCTTGCAGGAGACGTGCAATTACATAAGAAGCTTGCATAGAGAGGTTGATGACCTAAGTGAACACTTGTCGGAATTATTGGCAACTTCAGACACCAACCAAGCAGCGTTGATTAGGAGCTTACTCATGCAGTAGCCCTAGCTATGAAATTCTTCTTATGGGACTTCAATTTCTCTTTCTAGGGTTTTAATAGCTGACCAAAAAGTAGTTGCACTTGGATGATCAGCAGAACCCTAGGGTGGAATGGAACTCTATGCTTAGTTATGGAATCTATATTATATAAATAACAGGAGACTTGATCTTTCAGAAAGTCTCCCATTTTGCAATGTACTAATTATTCTATTTTAAGTGTGTTTGAATAGTTTTTTTTTTTTTTTTTTTTTTTGTGACGAGTGATTTGTGTTATCGATTACGACTCCTAAAATATAACCTTTGTACTATATGGAGTACTAAAGCTTGAGGGCCTTAATCAACCTTAAGCAAATGTTTCGAGTTCTTATATATATAGATAGATTTAGACTTCGCCTAAAAACTGAAGTTTTTCACTTTTTTCGATGTGGAATTGATTTTCACGTGGTCTCTAACACCCCCTCGCATGTGAGTCGTATATTTTACTATGGAACACTCCTCTCCACTTCCCTACCCCCCCCCCCCCCCTTAAAATTATATATGTGTGTGTGTGTGTGTGTTTTATACGAACCCTTGTTTCCCCAATGTGAGATTTGTTTTAATGCGCTCACTTGTGATTTCCAGCAGAAGCAGTAATGGAGTCAACAACAATGTGCTCTATAAACTGTATATATTTGAAGGTAGGGGGATTAGTTACAAAGCTTCATTAATGTGTATAGGGTGGGACGGTTGGGTCATTCACTTCAAGAGTTTGGTGGCCAATGATGTGGATCTAAAATAACATATAAGTTTCGTTAGTCCTCCTAATTATAAATTTGTTGAAATAATTGAATGTGATTTAATTACTTGAACGACTGCTAGGCAAGTGGCCAAGCACCACTTCTGGTGACTCCAAAAAAAAAAATAAGACTAAAAATTCATATCAAATGACAGTTGACATGATAAATAAATATTAAATGAATAAAAGCGGGAAAAAAATATCATTGTTATAGTACCACATCATTTGATCTTTATTTTTAGTCACAATTTTTTGGTAATTCTAACATTAGAAAAAAAAAAAAAAAAAAGGCTCCTGAGATCACAACCTGGTGGCTTGGCTTTAGTTTTACCTTTGTAACTTTCAAAGAGGAGGTGTAGGTTTCAATTTCAGGCCGGACATGGCTGCCTGTGTAAATTTGAGTCTGGTACTTGCCCCAGAAAGGCTTCTGATTATATAAGGGTGAATTACAATGTATATCTTAAAGTTTATACTTGATTTCTATTTGGTATCTTGTCAATCAATTGTAACATGATGACTTCACGACTAGTTTCAATCAACTCCATTTATCAAAACTCATCAGTAATTATGACGAAAAAATATAACGTGAGCGTTACATGTCTTAATCACATACATAATTTTGATCAAATAAACATAAATACAAGTCAAATCTGTAAAAGATGAGTCAATACATCCAATTGGAGGCTCAAATTTATATCAAATGAATGAGCAAATTGTTAATGTAGTTGCTTGTTATTTTCAAATTCATTTAGTGTTCAATATACCTTAGTAAGAGATCGAAAAAAATGCATTACATTTCGAGTGAGATGCCAAAAAGAAAATGAACGAGGGAAAAAATCGACGAAGAATCTATAACATAAAATCGTGAATGAAAAAACGTGACGGAAATTATCAACTCGAGATGTTAGAAAGTGCAAAATCAATGGGTGCTGGAGTTGCTAAAATTGTTTCAGTGGGACGAGTTAAATCACATGATCCACTGCTTGTGTAGGCCGCTGTCAATTCCTTTAAATTTCTGTCTTACAATCGTACTCTCCAGACAGTGTTTCACGCGTTAGTTGGGCCCCTGATCTGCGTAGACCAAGGGTGAACACTCATCATTTACGGAACGGACTCTAAGATATGATATTTTAATACATAAACACTAATTTTAGAGCCAACCTATTCAAAATTAATTCCACAATTGGGTCACATTATGCTCATGTGACTCTTTTCCTTTAAAATTATTGATGAATTTAAACTAGGGAACTCATTGGAAAAAAAAATTTAAAGTTTAAGGACGTGATTGTTTTAATTGATAATTTTAGGGACCAAATAAAAGTTAGGCATAAACTTTGAGGGCATAATATATAATTTACCGAATAAAAAGTTAGAAATAATATGGAGCTAGAGATAGGTTGTGATATTAAAGGGTGGATTAAGAAGTTATAACAAAATAAAACTGATCTCATATCTTGTACATCAATGAAAAGGCAGTTAATGCATAACCAACTAGAGTACCAGGGGGGCTTCACTTCATGAATGAGCGAGGAGTTCAATTAATCACCACTCGAAGAGAAAAGTAATGAAGTCTTGTTATCTTCCTCCTTTTAGGCGTATGGGCAATATTCCTGGTTCACGCACTTAAAAAAAACCAAAAAACTCCAAGAAGTAGCCTAGTGAAAATTGAAAAATATAAAAGAATTGTAAACTCAGACAACTTGAGTTTAAAATTTGGCAACTTTTTTGAGGTCAAATTATGAGGAATTTATCCTTCGTTAATTTTCTAATTTTGGCGTTAATGATTTGTTTTTGACCGGTCCAAGAAGAGAATTAGTCAAGTTTTGCGTAAAATGATTCAAACACTCTGATCACAATACCGGGAAAAAAAAAAGCACAAATGCTAAAGTGAGGAAAAAACGACATTGACTTTCTTTGTCTACTAAAAACATCTCTAACTCTGACTTAAATTTAAACTCAAATATAAATTAGAGTAAAAAAGTCTAAAAACTTACTCCAACATTTGACTCAAACTTATACCAATTCAAGAGAGACTTATTTTTTTTACCCAAATCAAGGGAGAGTAAAATATTTACCCAAATCTTTAATTGTGAGATTTCATCATCTTTTAAAGATTCAGTGATCATTTTTACTCTATTTTAAATTTTAGTTTGCCCTCATTTATATTTGAATTTCTCTTTCTTTAAATTTGAATTTGTCCATTGAAGTCATTTGTATCAAATTAAACTTTTTACTCAAATATTAATTTAAATTTAAATAAAAATTTGAGTCATGATTGGAGATACTCTAATATATGCAATGGCACACATTCACTTAAATAGAAGGGTTTGTGTGAGGTGGGTAGTTGGATTACCATACACTTTGTAAAATGACTAGGGGTAACCCGCGTGCCTGAAATCACAGTGCAATGTAAATCATTTTGAGAGAGATATTAGTAACTGTTGGATGAGTTTATTTGAGACCTTCAAATGAACTTATTGAAGTTTACTCTGTTTTATATTATAGATGTGTGAGAGGAAAGAAAATTGTTGAAACTACACTTGCCAAAGTTCTTTAACTAAATTCGATTTTATATTTTACTAGGAATAACTCGTGTCTGTGTTAGTTTTTATAAACTCAATTTTTAAAAGGTAGGTTTTGTATTTTTGGGTTTATAATGTAATATTGAAAAGTTGTGGTGTTAGATGGTATTTATGCATGTTTAGGGGCTCCTGTGTATTTGAAGAAGTAATCACTAGAAGAGTTTAGATTTTTGGAAGTCTGTTCATGTTCTTGGGAGGCTTGTTCATGCATGACTACATGGGAATTTGAACAGTTTTTGCTTGGAGGCAGCCAGCCATGAAGTGGCCAAATTCAAGGTATTTTGGCCAGGAAAAATTAGTATAAAAGGAAAGGAATTGCTTCCCAAAACAGTGGGAGTGTATCTGCAGAAAACAGAGAGAAAGAGAGTAAAAAAATATGTTTTGCTGTAAAAAAAACGCAACAAGCTATTCATGAGCAAAAGCTCTATTCCTTTGTATTTCTTGTATGTTTTTGCTAAAAAATTCAGATAAGTTATCTCCTTTGTATTCCTTGATATTGTGAGATGATTCTTGATGAAATATAGAAGT